CTGTTCTGGACCACAAGGAACTGAAACCATGGAAAATGAAACCATGGATAAGGCGGGGCTACTGTAAATGGGATCACAGGATATGTGATATTTCAAGTAATCACTGAATATACTGGCTTCTTCTACTTACAGTGTTTCCAAGGTTCATCCATGTTGTAGCATGTTTATTTTATTGCAGAATAATATTCTGTTGTATGGATACACCAAATTTTGCTTATCCATTCATCAGTTGATGAACATGTGGGCTGTTTCCACCTTTTGGCTATTATGACTTTTGCTGCTATGGACATCAGTATACAAGAGGACATATGCTTTCATTTCTCTTGGGTACATACCTTGGAGTGGAACTGCTGGGTAACTCTATGTTCAACTTTTTAAGGAGCCATCAGACTGGTTTCCAAAGTGGCTGCACCATTTTACATTCCCAGTAGTGCATGAGGGTTCTAATTTCTGCACATTCTCATCACCACTTGTTATTACATTCTTTATTTTAGCCATCTGAATGGAAAGATGGTATCTAATTGGGGTTTTGATTTTAACTTTGATTTTTGAGGTAGTATAGGGACAGCAGAGAAATGACTTCAGTAGAAGTGGTCAGTGGGGAGCCCCAGAGCACTGCAGGCACTCAACTCCCAGTGTTGGCAGTGTCTTTGGCATCCTGCCCTTTGGTTCCTGCTCATTTCCAGAGCTTGCTTCTCCAGTCTTTGTCTCCAGTCTCCATTAATTCTGTGAAGCACCAAAGGTTTTAATTTGATTAAGTCTAATTCATCTGTGTTTTTCTTTGGTTGCTTGTGCATTAGGTGTCATATCTTAAAAAACCAATGCCAAATCCAAGATCGTGAAGATTTGTACCTATGTTTTCCTCTATGAGGCTATAGTTTTGGCTCTTTCAAACTTTGATCCATTTTGAGTTAATTTTTATATATGGTATGAGGTAGGAGGTCTAACATTACTCTTGGGCATATGAATGTCTAATTGTCTTAGCACTGTTTGTTGAAAATGCTATTCTTTACCCCACTGAATTGTTTAGCCACTCTTATAAAACAGCTGTCCATGAACATGAAGGTTTATTTCTGGATTTTCAATTCTATTTCAGTGATTGTCTATTCTTATACTAATACCATGCTACTTGATTACTCTTGCTGTGTAGTAAGTTTTGAAACTGGGATGTGTGAATCCTTTAACTTTGTTCTTTTTTTTCTCTAAGATTGTGTGTCTTTTGAGTTTCCACATGAACTTATGGATCAGCTTGTAAAAGTTACACACAGATTCTAGCTGAGAGCATTAAATCTATAGATAAAAAATCTAAGGACTATTGCCATCTTAACAATATTAAGTATTCTGATACATAAACATAGGAGGTCCTTCCAATTATATAGATCTTTAATTTACTTCAATATATTTTGTAGCTTTCAGAGTGTAAGTTTGCACTTTTTGCTAATTTTGTATGTTTTCCCCTACATATTTTATTCCTTGACTCTACTGTAAATGGAATTATTTTCTTAATTTCATTTTCAGGTTATTCTTTATTTTTGATGGCTCATTTTACTAGATATAGAATTCTTGGATGTCAGTCTTTTCAGCACTTGGAATATATTATCCCACTATTTTGGAGGAGAAATCAGCTATTTATTTTATTGAAAATTTTATTTATTTTATTTTATTCATATATTTAAAGTTTATATGATAAGTTACTTTTCCCTTGATGCTTTTAAGATTTTCTCTGTCATTCTATAGTTTTATTATGATGCATCCAGTATGGATCTCTTTGAGTTTATCTTACTTGGAATTTGTTGAGCTGTTTGGACATGTAGATTAGTGTTTTCCATCAAATTTGGGTGATTTTGCTCATTATTTATTCAAGGATTCTTTCTGTTCCTTTCTCTCTGGCCTCTCCTTCTGGGACTCCCATTGTGTGTATGTTGGTACATTTGAGGGTGTCCCACAGGATCCTGAGGCTCTGTTCATTTTTCTTCATTCTTTTTTTTTTTCAATTCCTCAGACTGATAATCTCAGTCCATCTATATTTAAATTCTCTGATTCTTTCTTCCACTTGTTCATATCTGCTGTTGAGTCCCTCTAATGAATTTTTTATTTCAGTTATACTTTTCAATTCCAGAATTTTCATTAAAAAATAATTTCTGTCTCTGTATTGGTATCCTCTATTTGATGAGACATAAGTCTCATACTTTCCTTTAGTTTTTTATACAGTTTCCTTCAGTTCTCTGAACATTAAAAAAAATAGCTTACTTAAAAAGTCTTTGTCTAATAAGTCCAAAGTCTAGGCTTCCTCAAGGACATTTTCTATTGATTTTTTTCCTGTGTATGACCATATTTTCTTTGTTTTCTGCATGTCTTATAATTTTTTGCTGAGAACTGGACATTTTTGAATGATATAATGTGTGAATTCTAAATATCAGATTCTACCCCCCACCCCAGGGTTTATTACAGTTGGATTTTGTTTATTTGCCTAGTAGCTTTTCTGAATGAATTCCTTAAAGCCATGTATGACCCTGAGGTCTCTGCTCAGTTAGCTTAATGTTCAGCTAATGATTGTACAGATACTTCCTTAAATGCCTGAAACCAGTGAACTTCAAAGTCTTTGTTAAGGAGGTCTGTGTATGGTGTACCTTCAGGACTTGGCCAGGCAGTTGATAACTTTGCCTTAGCCTTCATTTCTTGCTTGCACATAATCTCAAGATCAGCCAGTGGGGTCTCAGATCTTTCCTGGGCATGTGTACAGTTATGGGTATGCATAGTCACACATACACACACACACACACACATACACACATGCACACGCACACATGCACAGTCATACACATGACATACATGCCACATACATGTGCCTGGACTTCTAGATTCTCAGGGGTATTTCTGAGCCTTTCAAAGTCTCTACAGACATCTCAGGCCCTAGCTTTTCCTTGTAAGCTTTTTGGTTAGCCTATTGTTTGTCCCTACTGTTATTTACTACCTTCAGACAGCCACAAAGTTAAATAACTGCTTCTAATATTTTTGACAAACAACCCCCAAAAAGGGTTTTTGCTTTGAGTCAGGTCAAATAAAGACAAACCTACAAGTGAGGTCTTCCAGAGAACCCTGAAATAGGTAAAAAAAACTTCAGTTCTCTGGGTTTGAGGCCTTGAAGGAACTCCAACTTAATTCTGCCCCCTGTGGTGGCTGCCAGGCTGCTGACTTTCATTATGGTTATGGGATGTTGGGTTTCAAGGCTCATGGAATTAAGAGGAAAAGCTCAGAACAGAGCAAGTTAAAACACTATAAAGCTCACTCTTCTTACTGAGATTTTAGATATTTTTACTGAACGAAAGCTCCCCAGATTACTGCATGCCTTTAATCTCCAGAGTTCTGAAAATGTTGGTTCTGACCATTTGTTAAACCAGTTTTCTCATTTGTTTTATGAGAAGAGGGAATTTTTAGAGTTCTTTATTCTGTCATTTTCCACTAAATTAATTTTGCATTAAAATGTGCTAAAATTTCTCAGGTGTTTCCTGTGATTATACGTAAATATTTTTTTGTGTCTATATGTGTATATATATATGTATGTATATATATATGCATGTTTGTATTTATTTGCTAATGTTAATACACATTTGTTTCAGAAACATGAAGGAATAACCTTGGCTGTCCTTTTTATGTAATAGATCCTGTGGGCTGAACCTGTGAATCATAGCAGAGGAAATAGGTGGAGAGAAAATAGTCCAGAAAGATAAGGTGGAGTCAGATCATGAAGGGAGTCAGTAGTTGCCATACTAAGGAAACTTCACTTTATCCTGAGCAAGGGAAATTACTGGAGGACTTTTCATAATGGGGCTGTTATGCTGAAAGTTGTATTCTAAAGGGAGGAGCTGAGGATAAAATCCAGGTTTCTGGTTTGGATATCTGGGTGAACAGAGGTATTATTGGCTGTTTCACATCAGATTTACAGGAGGAAACTTACAAGCTAGATGGTGAATTACATTTTGGACAAGTTGATACTGAGGTGCCAATGGGATATTCAAGTTTAGTTGTCCAGCCACTATAGCTTTATAGTGTAGCTTGAACTCATATTCCACATATAAGAGAGATCCTGTGGTATTTATCTTCCTGTGTCTGACTTATTTCACATGTTTACATGTCCGAACAGTTCAATAAATTCCAAAGGTTAAGTGGGCCTGGTGCTTAAGAGAAAGGTCTGGTTGGGCAGATAAGGAAGTCTACCTACTCGGGGGAAGTAGAAACCGCCAGGGAGAGTGTGTAGTAGGAGAAGAGGCCCAGACCCAGGTCCAGAACCCTGGGGAACATCAGATTTAGAGCAAATGGTGTCCTGTTTAAGGGCACAGACTTTGGAGCCAGCCAGCCTGTTATTACTGTCATGACATCAGGCAAGTTACTTTACTTCATCATCTTTCTGTAAAATGAGCACAGTTAGAACAGTGCTTGTTTCATTGAGGGATCTCTGAATAAAGAGCTCCCCAAGAAGGTAAAGAAGAAGGAACTATGAAAGGCGGAGGAGCTCTAAGATACGTGAAAAGAAAACTGGGGCTGACAAAACTGTGAGATAAGGTCTGTAAAGGGTCCATCTTTCAGCAGTTAGTGGCCTCACCAAGAAGAATTTCTATAGTTGAAATGAATCAGACTGTAAAGGGCAGAGTGACTAGGGGTCAGCGCCGACACATCCTTATCCCCTCTCACCAGGCCTGGCTCCCACCACATGCTTCCTTTGAGGACAGTGAGTTACGGATCATATTCCATCTTTTCCAATCAGTTCCAGCCACCAATGTGATAATATGTAGCATCAGGTTACCTTTAACCCTTCCACATTTGTGCCTTGCACGCCGTGGGAGATTGAAGTAACTGACGATACAGGGGCTTTTACAGAATCCCTAACTTGTACTATTTGGCACCTTGCCTTCCACGACCCCTTCGACCGCGTCATTCCCGTCCTGGCCACAAGGTGGGGCCCTCTCTCTCCTCCGGACCTCGGGTCACGACCTCGGAAGCACATCCTCCCCCCAGTTCCCCTGCGGAGATGGCGGCGGCCGTGGCCCGAGCGGTGCAGTTCCTCGCGGCGCGCCGGCGGCCCTGGGGTTTCGCTGAGAGGGCCCTGGCCGGAGGCGCCTCCGCGCGGGTGAGCTTCCCTGCACGAGCCTCGCTGCCGCCGGGGTGCCCCGGGGGCCGGCCGCTCCCCCGGTGCTGAGGAGTTACGGGAAGGAGTGCGTGTCGATCACTGAGAACTCAGTGGTTGCAAACCGGGAGAACTAAAATGTGAGCTGGCTGCCGCCGCCCCAGTTCTGCTTTGCCGGAGACTGAGCGGCCTCCCCCGCAGCCGGGCTTCCTGTGAACCCCGGGGTAGCAAAAGGAAAATGCTGTCGGTGTGTGTGTGTTTTTCTCAGGAGACCCCTAGCTTGATGCAAGGTGTGTGTGACTTTACTTAACACGTGTATGAAGGGAAAGAAAAACTGCCGACCGAAGAGTCCGTAGTCAGAAATCAGTCGCCAGAGTCTATCTTCAGAAGCTGCCCTTCCTATTTTCTCCCTTTTTAAAAACAATTTTACCTTTTTCAAAACTTTGCTTTTCTTTAGCAGTGAAAACCTGTCTCATTTCTATATTGTGTATAAATATTTTTATATTTTTCTCTTCTAGTCTTGACACTCCTCTCCCCTTCCCCCGCGCCCTTGTTCCCTTTACAATGAATACGTCAAATATTTCTAGAAGAGGTAGAAATAAAAGCAGTTTCTCTCCAGATAGTGATGACCAGCTGCCCCTTTTCCCTTCTGGTAGGGCATGTGCGTAGCCTGTTGCTCGCTTTAGGACAGTGGTTGGTTAAGTAAGGTTCCTAAGCCAGGCAAAAGGGGTGGGCCCCAGTGGAACAAAAGCTAAGGAGGAAAGAATGCTTTATAATAGAGTCTCTGAGATGTGGTTTTTGGAACACTATGTTATCAGAATAGTGATGTGTTTTGCTTCCTCCCTCCCACCCTTTTACCCTCAACCAGGCCTTATGTTTTGGAGGGAACAGATGGAGAAGCACACAGGCTGCTCCACAAGTTGTTCTGAACGTTCCTGAAACACGAGTCACGCGTTTGGAGAATGGACTCAGAGTGGCCTCTGAAGACGCTGGGCTCTCGACATGCACAGTAAGTGATTCAGGCAACCACGGTTTAACCTCTTATTATGAGAGAGCAAATTGTTGATTTTAATCTAAGTGTTTTCGTGGGTTGATGCTTGAAAAGTAGTGGCAGTTACTTTGCTTTGACAAGGTGGCTCTCACTTGTGAATCTTTCTTCTAGGGATCTTTTCATACCAGCTGCACATAGACCGTGTTGAGTGGTCTACATCTGGTTCTTGTAGGCTATTATTGTGTTATTTATCGTTAATAGTGTTGATAATAATGAAAAAGGTATATTTGATAGGCTCCTCTGTGCCAGATGTTTTTTACACATATTATTTTATTTGATCTTCAAGACAGTTCTTTGTTGAAGGCATCATCACACCCATTTACAATTGACAAACAAGTTTGAAGAAGTAAAATGGTTTTGTCCAGGGGTCACACAGCTAATCCATGACAGAGTCAAGTTTTGAATGTATGTTTTCTGACAGTCTCTTACGTTCTTTATACTATAGTTGTCAGTTGGCTGTAGTAACAAGTTGGGCTAAGAATTTGAGGACTCTGTGAACCTGGCCAGTAGATACTTGTAGCACCCAGCAGGAGCCTGATGACCAAAATTATAAGTCTCTGATAATTAATAGAAATGTACTGTCAGTCCATTCAAGTCAAGAAAACATTAGTGTTATGATCAGAAAGCATTTGTCAAGAAAGGAAGGAGACGGCTTCCTTCTCCCCTACTCCCATTCCCTCCCTCCCCACCAAAAAAGAAAGTAGTGTTTTACTTAATTGTTCCTTGATCGCATTAAGGTTGGGCTCTGGATTGATGCTGGAAGTCGATATGAAAATGAGAAGAATAATGGAACAGCTCACTTTCTGGAGCATATGGCTTTCAAGGCAAGTTGTAAGACTTAAAAATACTTATTTAAGAGGCAGTGAGCACAAAATTTCATTCTAAGGTTCATTCTAAGTTGAAAGGATTTTTTCCTTCAGATGTAAGGGTCATTTGAAAGTATATCACTATTTCTGTGGCCTGATATACTTTAAAAAAACCAAATTTGGTCCTTGCATGAAAGTGACATAGGCTTATGTCATCATATTCATTGTCTGAAGTGTTTAGAGCAGAAGAGGGATAAGGGGAAAGTATCATGATTTTTATCCCTCTTTTATTTCAGGGCACCAAAAAGAGATCCCAGTTAGATCTGGAACTTGAGATTGAAAATATGGGTGCTCATCTCAACGCCTATACCTCCAGAGAGCAGACTGTGTATTACGCCAAAGCATTTTCTAAAGATTTGCCAAGAGGTATTTCTATGATTTTCACAATAGTTCAGAAGTAATTTTGTACTGTTTTTATTGTGTCTGTTGTAAAGGGTAACCCCTAGAAATGTCGAAAAACAACCAAACTCTGAGATGGCACATATTTTTATTTTTTCTCCAAATAAGAAAAATTATATGAAATATTTAAAGGCTGTTAAGGCTGTGCAAACCAGGCCTTAACATTTGAATAAAATATACTTCCTCTAGAGCCATACCTGTGTACTGAAATATTTTTAATTGTATGTATGTATATATGTATTTTACTACCTGTTATTTCCCCCCCCACACACTGAATTTTTTATTTCTACAAATGAAGCGGGTTTTAAATCTATTGACTGCTGGGCCTTTTTGTTTTGAGCAAAACTTGCTTCTGTATTGCATTTGCATATCCTGTTTCCTCTTTCTGGAATGCACTTCTTTCTTACCTTCCTTTCATTCATTTTTTAAAATTCAACTTGAACTGAAAAAGACAATTTTCACCCATTTCTCCCAGGCCCCACCCCACTTTGCAGCTATCAGTCTGTTCTCTGTATCTGTGAGCTTGGTGTTTTGTTTTGGTGGTGGTGGTTTGTTTTCATTTTTGTTTTTGTTTGTTTAATTCCACATATAAGAGAGATCCTGTGGTATTAATCTTTCTGTGTCTGACTTATTTCACTTAGCATAATGCCCTTGAGGTCTATCCCTCGCTCTTTTTTTATAGCTGACTAATATTCGGTGTGTGTGTGTGTGTGTGTGTGTGTGTGTGTGTGTGTGTGTGTACGTACTTCTTTATTCATTCATCCATTGATGGACACTTAGGTTGTTTCCACATCTTGACTATTGTAAATAATGCTGCAGTGAATCTGGGGGTGTGTATATCTTTTAAAGTTAGTGTTTTTGTTTTTGGATAATTACCCAGAAGTGGAACTGTTGGATTATATGGTACTTCTCTTTTTAAGGGCTAGCTGTATTTTTTTTTGAGGACTAGCCCTACTGTTTTCCACTGTGGATACACCAATTTTCATTCCCACCAATAGTGCTTGAGGGTTCCCTTTTCTCCACATTCTCTCCAACACTTCTTACTTTTTCTTTTGGTAATAGCCATTCTGACTGGTGTGAGGTGATACCTTATTATGGTTTTGATTTGCATTTCCCTGATGATTAATGATGTTGAACATCTTTTCATGTATCTGTTGGCCACCTGCATGTCTTCTTTGAAAATAACATCTGCCCAGATCTTCTGCACATTTTTTAATCAGATTGCTTGGTTTTTTTTGCTGTTGAGATGTATGAGTTCCTTATATGTTTTGGATATTAGTCCCTAACCAGATACATGATGTGCAAGTAGTTTTTCCCATTCAGTAGGTTGCCTTTTCATTTTGTTGATAATTTCCTTTGCTATGTAGGCCCTAACATTTGATTAAAAAATACTTTTTAGTTTATTTTTAATTTTGTTGGGTTTTGCTTTTGTTGTCAGATTTAAAAAATCATCACCAAGATCTTTGTCAAGAGCTTACCACCTATGCTATCTTCAAGGAGTTTGATAGTTTCAGGTCTTTAATCCACTTTTTGTTAATTTTTGGCTATGCTGTAAGATCATGGTCCAGTTTCATTCTTTTGCTTATGGCTGTCCAGTTTTCCCAGCACCATTTATTGAAGAGATTGTCCTTTCCCCATTGTATATTTTTGGCTTCTTTGTCTTATATTAATTGACCATATATATATGTGGGTTTATTTCTGGGCTTTCTATTCTGTTCGGCTGATCTTTGTGTCTGTTTTTATACCAATACCATACTGTTTTGATTACTATAGCTTTGTAGTGTAGCTTGAACTCAGAATGATGCCTCCAGCTGTGTTGTTCTTTTTCAAGATTGCTTTGGATATTTGGAGTCTTTTGTGGTTTCATATGAAGTTTAGGATTATTCTATTTCTGTGAAAAATGCCTCTGGAATTTTGATAGGGATTGCATTGACTCTGTAGATTGTTTTGGGTAGTATGGTCATTTTAACAATGTTCTTCCATGATAATGAAGTATCTTCTATTTATTTGTGTTGTCTTTCATCAATTTTCAGTGTACAGATCTTTTACCTCCATGCTTAAAGTTATTCCCAGGTATTTAATCTTTTTGATGCAGTTGTAAATAAAATGTTTTCTTACTTTCTCTGATAGCTTGTTATTAATGTGTACAAATGCAGCAGATTTTTGTGTATTGATTTTGTATCCTGCAACTTTACTGAATTGGTTGATTAATTCTAACTATTGTTTGATGGAGTCTTTAGGATTTTCTATATATAGTATCTTTTCATCTGTAAATAATGACAATGTTACTTCTTGTCCAGTTTGGATGTCTTTTATTTCTTCCTTGGCTGGGAGCATTTTTTTTATTCCATTTGATACAAGCACTTTTATCCTGAATAAAGTAAGCACATGTTCACTTACAAGATTATTGATGATTTTTGTTAAAGCAATAAAATAGATGTTTTCGTTTTGTAGAAATAAAATAGTTATTCTGACAGCAGGGCATAGTAGTTTGTTGCAGTTACCAGGTTGTAAGTGTTTTGAATTTTTTAAAGGAAAGTTATTACACAAAACATTTTCCCATAGGAAGATGAGCAGTGCTTACTGGTGAAATGGTTACTCTTGAAGGTCCTTATGTAGTTGTAGTTAACTTCATTACTTTGAAGTTTTGGATTCCTAATACTCTTTCATTAGTAATGTTAGAATAGCATTTACACAAGAACATTGGTGTACATTTTGTGTATGTGGTAGCTCATTTGATCTGCATAGTAATCGGATAGGGGTCTCCACTTTACAGTTGTGGAAATTGAGACCCAGAGTCTGATTTGCCCAGGATTGCATAGCTAGTAAGTGGCTTATTGTGGACTTAAATGTATGTCTTCTCAGATTCACTGTGCCAGGTTGCTTTGTCAAAATAATAAAATAAAAAAGCTTACCACCTGTACATGAATAAAATAAAAATCTCATAAAATGGTCACCTAACTTTTGCACTGAAGCCAATGAAAATGACAGCAATAGAGGATGTGTTGGTGTGAATTGCAGAAAGTGTTGGTAAGGTTCTTAATGATTTCGTTAGAAACAGTTTTTACTCCAGGACTAGTGAGGGACTACACACAGAGGCTAGACCAGGCTGCCTTAAAGGGTTGTTCCTTCTAGTGTGTTCCTGTCCTATTTTATACAGGGAACAGCAGGGAAGGCTGAAAAAAGGACCAGAGAAAGGAAGAGATAAGGTAGAAGACCTTTTTCCTTAGTGTTCCTTCCTGGCACCTGGCTGGGAAGGACGGAGCCCTGCCAGCTGCCACAGATGAGCGGAGGGACTGCTTGTGGAATCAAGGGTCGGGGTGTTCTCTGCAGCAGCACCCTCTGTGGGGATTTGCTTGAGGTTTTTAGCCACTCAGTTGGAGGTAACAATTAGGTGTTTAGATTAGTGATCTTCAAACTTTATGATCACTCATCCTTATTGGTAAGAGACTTGATCCTCAATATAGATGTAAGTTAAATACACATACTACTATACTAACATATGTAATATTAACTATAGAACGGAATAAAGAATCTGATTAAAACATAAATTCTAGGAAATAGGAACGCCTATTTTGGCAGGTATCAGTTTAGACTATCAGTCCCACACGGAGGCCTTCACACCAGCTTTCTGTGAGGCCGTCTGTCTCCGGGCTCTCCTTGCTCATCCTGTCCTCTGGCTCCCTTGTCTGGACAGATGGCTTTTATTTGTTTTTATAGATACTTTTTTCCCTTTGGTTGTGATCTCAGCCCCTGCTTACTCTAGAAGTCTGTTCTGTCACATTGGGCAGTCTACAGAGGTACTTGGTATTTGAACATAACTGCTTCTCAGCTAAGGCCCCTCAAAGTGAACATAAAACACGGAACAAAAGGTTACAGGAGAGTAAAAAACTGGAACTAAAGATTATAAATTTGTTGTATATTTACTAAAATTTAGATTGTGATTGCAGCTATACACTGATTCTTAATAGATTAGGGTTTTCTTTTGTGGAGCAGTAGGTAACTTACTGGTTAAAACTGCTTACTAGTATGATAGTGATATCCTTCCATTCACTTTTGATTTTTGCAAATTAGGGTAATTTTTTATTAAGTTTTTGAGGGCTTCATCAGTTTTTCCTAAGGGTCACTTTTAATCTTTTGATAGTCATAGTGTCTCTTTGGGGGCACCTGTCTTTCTTCAGATGTTACCTGCTCAGCTGTGTCAGGTCGTCATTTACCATTGACTTTGCTAATGGTGAGAATCTAGCCAACATTGATCAGATGGGTGTCTCCACTTTACAGTTGTGGAAATTGAGTGGGATTAAGTTGGGCAGGATATGTGCGAGGATTCTAATTCTGTAAGTGGTTCGTTGGGGTCAGTATTTTAGATTATGGTGATTCTTGGCTTCTTTATGTAGTAGCCTCATTGCTGTGGGGATTGGGTATAAATACTTGGGTGATGTGGACTCTTTGTATATACGTAGATATTGTAATACAGATGATTTTCTACTTTTGTGATTTTCATACAGAACAACATACACTCATGTGTGGATTTCCATGGCATTTTTAAAGTGGTTCTAAGTAGAGTCATTACAAGTGTTGTGGGGACCTCTGGCAAATTTATTAATTTTCCCCAAGCTCTTCTATACCACAGGGATTTATATTTCACATTTAAATTTTTAATATTGCCCTCTTAGGTAGATTTAATGTTTAGAAAAATTTGTTTCCTCCTAGTGTCTTCTTTTAGTCAGTATTGAGTAGTGGTCAGTATCATGATTTCTTATGCTAGTTTAATAGATTTTGATAGTGAAAAATTAATGTTTTCTTATGTTTTATTTTCAATTAGCTGTTGAAATTCTTGCTGATATAATACAAAATAGCACATTGGGAGAAGCAGAGATTGAACGTGAACGTGGAGTAATCCTTAGAGAGATGCAGGAAGTTGAAACCAACTTACAAGAAGTTGTTTTTGATTATCTTCATTCTACAGCTTATCAAAATACTGCACTTGGACGGACAATTTTGGGACCAACTGAAAATATCAAGTAGGCATAATTCTCATTTTTTCTGTGGAAAATTTATGAGTTGTGAAAATTAACATTCACAAACATTCAAAAAGTGTGTTTCAAAAAAATTTTTCCACCCATAACCTGAATGAAATTGTAGTTCGCTATACTTGAGTCCCACCTACTTCCCAGGTGTCTGGGCTCATAGCTACTTCTGGAAGAACAAGTTGATGGTATCAAATCTGTCTGTTCTTTTCTTGATACGGAAAAGTTGAAATTCTTTGTTATTTGTTGCGTATATCCTATTTCTGACTGCATTTAACTTGGAATACCTTTAAAGTCCAACTTAATTTCAGATATACAATGTGCAGATCTGTGCTTTTTCACTTCCTTTTAATATTGCTTTCCTTACTCCATTTACAGATCTATAAATCGTAAGGACTTAGTAGATTATATAACCACGCATTATAAGGGGCCAAGAATAGTACTTGCTGCTGCTGGAGGTTAGTTAATTTACATTTTTATAACTGTTTTGAACAGTCATTAGAGAGATGTGCTTTTCAGTTTGATCCTGTTGTGGTATGTCTGTAAAGTTTTTCATTTAAAGAGCAAATTGCTTAATACACTGTTTAAGGGGAATGAGGAACACTGGAACCAGACTTTCCCTTTATCTTCCCATTAGTATGAGTCTAAACAGAAAAATATGGACCTTTCAATATGTAAGTGTACATATATAATGTAATTTATTTGCAAGAAAAGAGCAAATGAGTGGGACACAGTGAGACTTGGAAAGAAAGTGTCTACAGTTTCGGAATCTCTTTTGAGATTTTAAAATTATTTCTTGAGAACCAAGTTCATCCTTAGGCATGGAAAGGGTGTGGCATGTTAATTCATTCTCAGAAGATCTGCTAATTACTGAGAAGGGGAAGTTCAGAGGGAGCCATGAGAATGTTTAATGGGAATCCAGACATGCAAGTGGTATCAGGACAAGACTTCCTCGGGGGAAGTGTTTGAAGCCAGTGAATGAAAAATCCACCTTAGATTCTGCTAGATTTCTCGGCAGTCTAAATTTAGGCAAACAGTATATTTTATTGGTTTTCAGTTATCTTTCTCTTCTAGAGCAAAGATAAATTGCATGTTCTTTTGTGTAAATTTAAGTCTCTCTCTTTAGGCATCACTATAAATTAAAATTTTAGTAGCAGTTGCCCTGGGTAGATGTCTGAGCTAATTAATTCCTTGGGAGTAATGGAGAAGATGAAATGAAGGTTAAATATCTCAAAAATGTTATTCACGTGGCTCTCAGCTAAATCATGTTACCTTTGTATGGCTGCAGTGGTCCTGAAGTTCTCTTTAGTGAAGAACATTGTTTCTGAAACGGCTGGTGCTGCCTCCAGGTACAGTGCTTGAAACTGCCTTGGAAACAGGACTGTTGGTTAGATTGGCCTCCACAACCAAGCTGCCTGGGGTGTCTCTGCTACTGTTGGTGCCATATGGACACGGGGTTTTCAGGGGGTTTTATCACAGTTCATGGGCTCACTTTGACGTTGCTGATGAGGGGTTATCTTAAAGGTAATGGCCTTAGGTTAGTTAGCATTTTGTCATATGGGTTCATAAATGATGATGTGCTTTATAAACAGTGGCATCTTAAATTCATTGACATAGGCCACCTAGCTTCGTTTAGAAAAATTGGCTCCCCTGCCTTTTGGATAGGTGCGCGTGTACTAGGTCCAACCAGGAAGGCCCTAGGTGATATGAAACAGTGGAAGAAGTTAGTCCAGTGCTGAGAACTGCAAGCACGTTCCTGAGCACATTTCATCTTTTTCACTCTTTGCTTATCATTCTTGTACCACCAGGGTCTTCCTATTTTGTCACCCTCTGGATTGATATCCATGGTGGTTGTATACAATCATGTATGTCTTGCTTTATACCACAAATTTGTTTGGAAAATATTGGTGTAAGTCATACTTTTATATTCTGATGGAATGTTTCATTTAAAGAATCTCATTGGCTGTATTTTTTAAAGTTCTTGCACAGTCCTACATTTGTTTTCTAAGTTTCTATTTGTGTTTATATTTGAACTCATTTGGGTCCCAAGTTCAGATGATAATGGATATAGAATCTAAATAATTCTTAATCATGGCAAGTAGTGTTTAAGTAACTATGGACTTACTCAGAAATTTAGATGAAATTATTTTGTTCCTCAATTCTGATAGCAGATATCACAGAACAAAGCATGTATGTGTATCCAGCTTTCTTTAAATGAGATAGAGCTCATTTACATTCTTTTCTATTTTCAAAATTTTATCGAAAAGTGACTTTTTTGCTAGTTTGCATTCTGGGACTTTTAATGACATGATTTTGTATGGAAAGTGGTATTTTCAAGCTTACTATTATCCTTTGCTGGGAATTCCATTGTATGTTGATGAAAACTGCCAAGTTGCCTTATAGAATGAGAAAGCTGTGCTACCCAAGTCTTGTACTACCAAGGAAAGTGCTGTGAGCTTACTTGTAAATGACTTTTAGGAGTCCAAGGAGTTCGTGTGCAACTTGTATCACTTTATACCACCTTGAGCTTTATTGCAACGGAAGTACCATTAGTTGTCTGCTTTAGATTGTATTGCTGCTAGATGTATGAAATACTCTCCTTCAATTCAGGAGTTTCCCATGATGAACTGCTCGAGTTAGCAAAGTTTCATTTCGGTGACTCTTTGTCCACACACAAAGGAGAAATACCGGCTTTGCCTCCCTGCAAATTCACCGGAAGTGAGGTAAGGCAAGCCTCCTTACCTAAGAGTATTTAGCCCTTTGGGTTTTCTTGTGTTGTATTTATGAATGAGTGAACAAAATGTCAAATGTCTAACAGGAGTGAAATGGAAGAAACCAAAGGCTTAAATTGAAACAGAAAAAAGGGAAGGGGATATTCCTTTCTATTCCATATTTTTCTTTCCTTAAGCAAGGATTAAAGGGCAGTGTTTTAATTTGGTATTTTTGTGCTTTTTCTTTGTCACTGTACCCAATTATATATTGTAAGGTATAAAAGTAATCTTATTTTAAAAACATCCCAGATTTTGACTTTCATGTTAGGTTTACTCTTGGCTAAGTTCTGCCCAAGGTGCCTTTCTGGGGGTACCTGTTAGAACCAGAACTTAAGGAGAACACACTGTTTATCAGCTACAGCTTTAAGTCTCACTACAGGTTTAATTTGTCACATTGGGGATGATACCAAAGTAGTATCTGGATAGAGGCCTGATGATGACAGCTGCACTGACCTATAGCATTAGCAGTACCAAAATAAGCCTGTTATGTTGATATTAGCTTAAATTCAGATAAAGAAATCCAGATTAACAAACACAAAAGATTGATTTCAACCAGTGAATGCAATCCTTTTTTGACCAAGTAACCATCTGGTAATTATGTCTGTAGTATTTGTTGGAGATCTTTTGGTGAAAGTGCTGTCCCAAACTTGTAAAAATTCCTTATAGACTATACAATTTAATAAGGTTTGATAGTTTTTTGAAAAAAAAGTCACGGTAGGCATTTTAACTTCCCAATTAATGGGAATGGTTAGTTTCTTTGTGCAGCATGTCATATAGTGGTAATCTTACTGGAGTTTTCTTTACCTTAACTAGATTCGAGTGAGGGATGACAAGATGCCTTTGGCGCACCTTGCAGTAGCTGTTGAAGCTGTGGGTTGGGCGCATCCGGATACAATCTGTCTCATGGTTGCAAACACACTGATTGGCAACTGGGATCGCTCTTTTGGAGGAGGAATGGTTAGTGGTATTAAAAGTAATTTTCCATTGTAAATGACAAGATGGATGAACTAGGTACTATAAATTTTGACTTAAAATATAAACTGATTCTGGATTGCATTCTGGGCCAGAAAAAAATTTTTTTTTCCTTTTGCCATAAAGTTTTTTAGTGGGATAGGTGGTAAAATTTGAGTATGGATAGAACTTGCTAATAGTACTGTATTAATGTTAATATCCCAATTTTAATAACTGTACTGAGGTTAATTTCCTAGTTTCTTGTTAAGTACATGCCAAGAAGTATTTAGGGGTAAAAAGCATCATATCTGCGACATATTTTCAGACAGCTGAAAGAGTATGTTAAAAGAGAGTGAGAAAACATGCTAGAACAGAGAATTTGGATAAAGAATTCTTTGTACTACTTTTGGTAACTTTCTGCAAGTCTGAAATTCTCCAAAATACAAACTATATGTGTCTAAGATTTCAATGAAATACATTTTATATAAATATCTTAGGCATGACATGCAATATAATTTCATATCTTTAAGCATATATATAGCCAAGAGCCCTACAAATTGGGTTGATGACAGCAATGTGCATAGAAGTGGGTACAGCTACCTCTATTACAAGAATTGTCTCTATGTTAGCAAATTTCTCTGGGGGTGTGCTGGACTAGTGAGGTAAGTATAGATAAGGTTCGTTGAATTTTAACTCAAGATGTTACTGGGTAGTAAAACGAAGAAACCCACTCTCAGAGCATTCATTATTTGCCACATATCTTTTTCTTTCTTCCTGGTAATTTGAGTACATGTACCTATACTATAGTTCTCTTGGACAATTTTTTTTCCTTACAGAATTTATCCAGCAAGCTGGCCCAGCTCGCCTGTCATGGTAACCTCTGCCATAGTTTTCAGTCTTTCAACACTTCCTACACAGATACAGGCTTATGGGGGATCTATATAGTTTGTGAACCAGCCACTGTTGCAGACATGCTACATGTTGTTCAAAAAGAATGGTAAGAAAGTAATTTTAAGTCTTGCCTAGAACTCGTATTTTAGACTAGTTTCCCCTTTGTAATATAGCTTGGCAGCAAGTAGTTTCTCATGGTGACGTCAGCATTCAGGAGAATGAGACTCAGCAGCAGCAGCCATGTTTTTAAAGATCACAGATTCTTCTAAGTCTCATATGAAGCCGATTTATACTTCAGAAAATTCTTAATCTTTAAGACACAGATTACTGTAGAAAGAAGATCTTCCAAGTTTGAAATGTTCATATACCAACTAGAAGTTTGAAAAATCTCTTTAAATCGTCTGGCTTAGAAAAGTCAGTGTTAGGAAAATGTATCTGAAGTTGCCATTCCTGAAAGAAAAATGTAGTTAAAGTTTTAGTCAAAACTAGTACCTTGGACAAAAGCAGAGAGGCTCATGCTTCTTGGAAAAGCTTTTATTTAACTCCAGTTCCTTTCTTCTGCCATTCTTAAATGGCTTACAGCTTTCTAAATCTAGTTGACTGGGGTGTGACGACAGCGTAAGTTGAGATCCTTGAGAAAACAATGACCCACTGATTTGTACCCTAGAATGTAAGATCCTAACATTAGGGATTCGTGAAGTGTCAAAATGATCATAGCATTTTAAAAAATGCAGCCAGCCTATTTTTATATTGTACTGAACCTCTGTCTTCTAATCATAATAGTTTTTGATAAATTAAAACCAGGAAAATGAGGAATCAGTAATATTTTAGCTTTTGCTTAGCTTTTGGGATCATTATTAATTTCAGCCTTTTACTAAGCTGAAATCATAAATCATTTGTACACTGTGGTGTAGTATGTAGAATCCAGCATCTTTCTTTACTTCATTACCTCATAAAACACATTACATTTTCAAACTACTTGACATTTTTATTTTTCCAACCCTTTTTTTTAGGATGCGACTTTGTACAAGTGTCACTGAAAGTGAAGTTGCACGAGCCAGAAATCTTCTGAAAACAAACATGTTGTTGCAACTTGATGGTAGGAACGAAGACTTAAGTTCTATTTTCATGTATCTATATTACAATACTTAGATTTTCTTTCCCTTTAAACAGGTTCCACTCCAATTTGTGAAGATATTGGTAGGCAAATGTTATGCTATAACAGAAGAATTCCCATCCCTGAGCTTGAAGCAAGAATTGATGTAAGTAATCCTTAGTTACTATTGGTTGTGTATAAAAAGATCCTTGTTACAAAAGCTGAAAATATGTACCATAAATCCTGCTTTAGCTCCGAAAAGATCCAGGTATAGATATAGAATCTGTCTTTAGTACAAAAAGCTCTGACTGTTAGTATCATCTCTGTTTCAGGCTGTAAATGCTAAGACAATTCAAGAAGTCTGTACCAAATATATTTATGATAAGAGTCCAGCCATTGCTGCTGTTGGTAAGCCTGGCTCCTTTTCTCCTGTGCAGAAAGTTGCATATTGCTTGCTTGTCTCTTATTCATTTTTAACCATCTTTTCTTTTAATCATTAGGTCCCATCGAGCGACTACCAGATTTTAACCAGATTCACAGTAATATGTGCTGGCTTCGTGATTAAAATGCTCATCAAAATATTTTGAATATACATATTTTATAAAACAGAGATCTGCAAGTTTTATGCTGTCAATCCCAAAGGGGAAAAATAAAAATGAACATATATACTTGGAAACTGAAATTCTACATCAGACTTTCAAAGCATAAGACCACAGTGAACAGGTAGATCTTTGTGCTGAGAAATTATGTTGAAACAGCACACACTCTGAAATATCATCATAGGTTATAATTTTAAGAATGAAAATTTGTACAGTATTTTCAGTTTTATTATAAAAATGCACACACAACAAAGATTGTCATAAGTCATTTCTTGGCTCTACTTGCATTCAGCACTTGCTCTTGAGCAGCTTTCTTTGCTTTAACCATCTCAACAAGTTCCTAGGAAGAAAAAAAGGTGTTATTTCAGATGTCAGAATTTGCAGATATTTCTAGTGTTTATGGTAAAACATTCAAGTTGGGTAAATTTATAATCATGACAAAACTGAAAAGGTTGATTTTATTGCTAGAGCTTGGAAAGTTTATACGGTTGGTTATTTCTTTGTAATACTGCTACCATGATGACTGTGGCATTGAAATAAACAAAGGTGTAAGAGCACTAGCAGACTCTGTACAGTAAAAACCTGCCACCTTGTATCGTTTCATGCAGTTCTTCTTTGTCCTGCCAGGCACTGCTTCTGCTATCTTTTCCCATCTTTCAGGCGTGTTTACTGGGTATGTTTTCAAAGCTTGTTCCAAAAGCTTCTGTTCTTCTGTTGTCCAAGGGGTGAAATCTGTGCATGGACCTGTTAAAGAAAAAATTTTATTTGAGAAATCTTACCCTAATTGATAGAAAATTGTCTTGGAATACTTTCCCAGATGAGTCTTAGTGCACTGCTATCTTGGTAAGTGCCCCCTCAAATCTGTGATAATTCTGAACAAACTGAGAGGAGACACACATAAACCTCTAAGTATTAATAAGAGAAAAATTTCTAGTTTTCTGGGATATGAGCTCTCTCAAGGCATTTTTAAGCACATATTTTAAGCAATAGGCAATAGCTGCCTTATACTGCTGGTCTTTTACAACCTAGCACACTCAGCGGACTTTTTAAAAAAATCAAGATTTAAATTATGTATTTAGACTATTGTGTTCAAAAACACAATCACAAGCCATAAGATTTCTGGTAAGTCTACTTCCTTATAGGGAAGAGCTGCCTCATAGTTAACAAAACTTTGCTCATTTTGCACTGGAAACAGTTTCTAGCAAATAAGTCAAGTGCTGCACAGTGCTGTGGAGGCAAGGTGAGAGTAGCCTGTGTTTAGTGAAGCACTTTCACCACATCCACTAAAATCGAGTGGAGCCAGTGCTAAGCACCTCTACTAAACAAAACCTTTCATACACATCGGAAATGCATATTATACATTCCCCTTCTGGAGGAAAATGAAAATGTGAAATGGTTAAAAAGCGACTTGGTTGTTCTGAGTTAACAGCCTCCTGGCAGTGAGTCCAGACCACGTGGTGAGAGCACAGCAGCACTTGTCCTGCGGGATCTGGCTCGAGAGGGCCGCCTAGCAACCTCAGCTGTGTCCTGATTAACACACACACGTACTCCTACTCAAAACAAGGCAGAGAACTGGTATTTGAAGGCAGATGAGAAGGTTTTTGAAAGCCAGCTTTTAATTAAAGTCCAGGAAGCTCTTAGTGGAATTTCCTTTCATTGGTCTTAAGCCCACATTTAACCACACACCACACATTTCATATCTCTTGGAGAAGAAAAAAGATGGAAATGATATATTTCCTGCTGCTCTCTAGGTTCCTTTAGAATACCAAAGTAAATGTAACATTGTAAAATTCCCATGAGACATCACTATTGAAAAAAATGGTGCCAGTTCGCTATTTATTGTTGCAACTGAACTGTCCTTAAAGATGTAAAGGAGTCAGGCCTAGACACCACTGCTGGGAATCACTCCTGCCATCACAGGATTACCTACCTCTCCCCACAGACGACTGGCTGCCTCCAATATGGAAACAAGTCCTACCAGAAGGGGCTGAGAAGAGTGCCAGTATCTGCATGTGGTATGATGCCCTGTGGAGGGCACGAGAACAATCCCCTCCAGGTGTTCTGAAACATCCCTTTGACTCACCTTTCTTGAAAGAGCCAAAATAATGTCCAACCTGCACAAAAAAAGACCCCTGGTATTTTGGAACCACAGAATGATTTTGAGTCTCCTCATGTTTTCCAACTGGAATTCTGAGATAACATGGCAGGCTAAGAGTATAGGAAAAGTCAGTTTCTTAAAGAACAGGGATAAGTTAAGTGGAGTCAAGATTGTTAGTCAATCCCAAAACAGATGCAGCTGGGATCTGGAAAGCCTACCTTAAGACTACCTTAAAGGAGAAAGGACTGGTGGCTTGAAAGTGCATGACAAGAGAACTTTCAAATTGTTTTGTCAGCAACTCAAAAAAAAATGCCACATCCTAAAACTCATGAACAAAAGTTTCACAAATACCCACTTTTACACATGATAGGTGTAATTTTCTCTATTTTTCTATTCATGATCCATTAAATTGATACCATGAGCCACTGTGATTTGAAACACACTGCTCCAGAGTCATCAAGTTTGCTACAACACCCAAGACTAGGTCAGCACCCTCACAGGTTTTAGCTTTATGAAATAATTTCAGAAGCATAAAGAATCCTATATATTCTCCCCAGATTCCCCAAATGTGAACATTTTGCCTTACATACTTTATCTCTACGTACAGACACCATTTGGCCTGAACCGTGTAGTTGCAGACATGATGCCCCTTTACTCCTACATACGTCACTATGTTTTCCCTTAAAACAAGGACATTTTCTTACATAACTATAGTATATTTCTCAAAATCAGGTTAACCTTGATAAAATACTATTATGTAATCTATAGACCTTATTCAAATGTCAGCCGTCCCAGTGTCCTTTAACTGATTTGTGAAACAAGCACAACCCCTCTCCTAATGGCTCTGAAATGGAAGGACTGCAGTTGGCAGCAGTGTTAGTGGGAGTGACTGCCCTAAAAACGCTGGCTTCATGTCTCCCAGCCTGCTAAGTACTTCATGTTTCATCATTCTTGACACAGGCTCTAGGCTTGTGTATCTCCACATTATGTGAGTACACGGCTGTCATTTTCTACTCACACAAAACCGAATGTCATTACCTTCAAACCGTTCTGAAGGCGGCGCATTGTCTGCTTGATGCACCACTCCATGTTCTTTCTTAAATTTATCAAATGCCTTCTTGTTGATGTCATCTTTTTGATGAGGGTCTGGGAAATGAAAAATTTCAATATATTACAGATCATCTCATTTAGTCTTTCATCAAACTGCATAGATTATTTTGAAAATACATATTCAAGGTAGCAAAGAAAATTTGGCAAAACGAACTCACCAAGTTTTTGAAGACTCTTTGCTTTGCCAATAACATCTTTGGCGGTTCTCTTGACTCCAGAAGAAGAATGTATGTTCATGTAATTAGCAATAACTTCCCATCTAGAGCAACCAATATAAAAAAGGGAAAAAACACCCCCAAACAAAAACCAGAATGACCCTTACATTTTTAATGCAAAAGGGTGAGCTGTAATATTTATTAGCTCTCAATTGATGGTCTAATTATGACTATTGCCAGAATTATAGTTTTTTCTTTTCATACAGATAAATCAGCTGTATGTAATCTTGGTTTCAAGTTTATACAAAACCTTAGAGTTTCTGTGTACATATTAACTGCTTTGGCTTCCTCATCTATAGAATGAGGGAGGCTGGATCTCTAAGGCTTAATTTTGAGTTCTAAACTCAGACTTTGCAGTAAGCTCCAGTGTGAGGTAGGAAACAAAAAGGATTAAGATGGCGAAAGAAACTTCACAACACGAAACCTAGGCCTGAGTACCAGCCACGATAGAATGTACCAACGTGACAGTCAAGGCTCTTACGATCTTTATTTCCTGAGAAACTGACAACTCATTCTGCGGTATATACATATGTACATGTGTGTTGGTGAAAACTGAAAAGACTAATGGGCTCAAAATGCACTCTGCTTTTTACACTTTCCACTGGCACAGAATTTAGCGGAAGGCAGTCTGCCTAGACTCAAGCATATTTCCTGAGGTTTCTGCTATAACCATTGCTGCTTATTCGGATGCTTAGCTACATTATCCCAGGCTCCAGTATGTGTTGAAGAGAAGTTTCATTAAAATCAGTACCTTGAATTTGTTCCAGCAGGGAAGAGGTTCACAGCTTTAATCAGTAATTGCAGATCATCTTCTGACCAATTTTTACTGCCATTTCCACCTCCGCCACTTGACTTCTCTGCATTCTTAGATGCTTGTCGCATCCGTGCCTCGGCTTCCTCTTTCTCCTTTCTCATCTGCTCATTTATTTCTTCTATCTACACAAATATTGGGTTAAGTCAGGGACTTAAAGCATCTTCCTACTCTACACTCCCTCTCTGGTTGGGGGCTCTATGTTTCTCAGCTCTCAGTAGCCTGGCAGCCATCCTCCCCTCTTCCCGGGGTAGCCCCAACCCTAACCCCAAAGCCATGCCCATCTCTCACCCCGGCTCTTCTTCACTCTGGCTTCCCGGCTGCGTGGCGCTGCCTGAGGAACAAAGAGCCGCCCTCATCCTGCCCTGCCCTGTATTCAATCTGTGTGAGTATTTGCCTTGGACACTACCTGTTAGGTCTAGAGTCACTGGGTTATTTACCCACAAGGCCATTTCAAATCAAATCTCATACCCATTCTCCCAGCAGATTATCTCATTTATTCTCTACAAAAAGGTAAAGGCACAGCAAAGTGGCCTGTTTTATCTTGACATTAGACCCTTTACCTTGTCACTTCAGTCCACCTTCAAACATGCACAATTTAAAAAAATCCTTTACATGACCTTTGTGACCCATTCCCTCACCTCACTCCCCAATCCCAACAATGCCAGTGATCCCATCAGGCCTCTCAGAGCCCACGTCCTTCCAGGAGGAGTCTTAAACTGTTCTTTAGTGTTATCTAATCCATCCTGCCTGGCATCTAATGCCAGGCTAATGCTACAGTGTTAACCCTTTGCTACTCAAAGATCTGCAGTAATGGAAACTACTCATCATGGCATTAAAAACCTGCTTAATTTGGCTTTACTTTTCCTAACCAACTTCTCCCACTTCTCCCCCTAACCTTCTACCTATATTTGATAGTTCACGCTGTTCCCATGACTTTCATTTTCATTTTAACACTGTCCATCCTTCAAGGCTGGCTCACTGACCTTCCCTGCCCCCTCCACCTGGAGCTGGCGCTTCCTGTGTGACCTACAGCATTTCCTGTGGGCCCTCCTTGTGGTCTGTAGGCCTTTCCAGTGTAATGGTTCCTGAATTCCTTTATGGCAGCAATGGCATCGGGCATTTCTCCAAATCTCCTAGGCATAGTGCTATATATAGTAGGTACTAATACTTTTTGCACTGAACTGAATTTCTGGGCCTGTTGTCTCATCTATAAAAGGCGTAAACTAGACAGAACAAAGATCTCGTTTGGTTCTAATGTTGTTATCCTATAAAAATGCTCAAGCAGTCAAAATAATTTTGAAAAAACTACAATGTGCTAGATACCACAAATCAAACATTCTACATGCTAACAATCATACACACTAACTCCACCTGAAATCAACAAGAGCACTTACTACAAGCAAAGCATAGTGAGGGACACAAAGAGAAATGAGACACTCTGCTCGTACAGTAACAGGTTAGGTGGGAAATACTAAGGAGAGAGCAAGACTGAAAGCAGAATTAAACGCCTGGTTTTCTATTCTATTACCTGTTTTTCCAGAGCAGCCTTTCCTACTTCTTTTGTAGATGATGTGAGTGTTTCATTCAAGCACTGTAAGCTAAAGAAGAAAAGGGGATAAAAGTTTATTCTAAGCCCAAGAGAAGACTCTCATAGCAGTTGTATAGTTATACCTTGCTAGTTCAAGCCGATCACAAAGTTTTTCCACTTCTTCCATCATTTTAACCCGTTCTGCCTCATTGTCAGAAAAGTGATTCCAGCTCTAGAAGCACAAACACAAGCATTTTCATCTTCTATCTACTGACAGTCAAAAAATACATGCATGAACAGTTACAAAGCATGAAGTTCTCAAGAGCTTCAGATGAATGTATGGCCTTCTGATGATCAACCACTGTACCCCCAGGGCACTGCCCAGCTTTCTCCCTAGCCAGCTAGCAATAAAATAAAAAGGCACCGCCAAATAGATGAAGCAGCAAAACAGGAAAAAGGTAATGGTGTGGAAGACCTGGATATTACCAAAGTCGGAATAATTCCATAGAGAAACACTTAAGGATCAAGAAACTCTGTATGATACTCCCTCGTTAGGCTGCCAGTTCCATCTACTGACTGCTGGACTGTAAAATTCACTGGGAATTTTACGTGAAATGACAGAAAAAGATACTATAGTGTGTTAAGGAACAGGGTGTACTAGAAAAATTCTGAGTAATTCCAGATTATGCTTAGAATGAACATCACGATGTACCTGAACATACAAGAATTGGAAAGTACTTCTCACTCTGGGCTGCTGCTGACACTCATGTCTCCCACTTTTTCTTGCTTCCTTAATCTATGCTATCTGGGTCTCACAGAGCTGCCCACGCTCATCTTACTGTTGACCCATCCCTAGCATCCAAACATACCTCTAGAAGCACTGTTTCCTCCCCACCTGTCTGGGTCACCCAGGACAACACAAAGAAATAAAAGGCATCCAGATTGGCAAGGAAGAAGTTAAACTGTCCCTGTCTGCAGATGACATGATATTCTACATAAAAAACCCTGAAGAATCCACTCCAAAACTACTAGATCTAATATCTGAATTCAGCAAAGTTGCAGGACACAAAATTAATACACAGAAATCTGTTGCATTCCTATACACTAATGATGAACTAGCAGAAAGAGTAATCAGGAAAACAATTCCTCACAATTGCATCAAAAAGAATAAAACATCTAGGAATAAACCTAACCAAGGAAGTGAAAGATCCATACTCTGAAAACTACAAGACACTCATAAGAGAAATTAAAGAACATACCAATAAATGGAAATACATCCCATGCTCATGGATAGGAAGAATTAATATGTCAAAATGGCCATCCTGCCTAAAGCAATCTCCGGATTCAATGCAACCCCTATCAAAATACCAACAGAATTCTTCAATGAACTAGAGCAAATAGTTCTAAAATTGATATGGAATCAAAAGACCCCAAATAGCCAAATCAATCCTGAGAAGAATAAAGCTGAGGGATTACGCTCCCTGACTTCAAGCTCTACTACAAAGCCACAGTAATCAAGACAATTTGGTACTGGCACAAGAACAGACCCACAGACCAATAGAACAGACTAAAGAGAGCCCAGATATAAACCCAAACATATATGGTCAATTAATATACGATAAAGGAGCCATGGATATACAATGGGGAAATGACAGCCTCTTCAAAAACTGCTGTTGGCAAAATTGGACAGCTACATGCAAGAGAATGAAACTGGATTATTGTATAACCCCATACACAAAGTAAACTCGAAATGGATCAAAGACCTGAATCTAAGTCATGAAACCATAAAACTCTTAGAAGACAACATATGCAAAAATTTCCTGAATATAAACATGAGCAACTTTTCCCTGAATGTATTTCCTTGGGCAGGGGAAACAAAAGCAAAACAAAAAGGCATCCTACAGTATGGGAGAATATATTTGTAAACAACATATCCAACAAGGGGTTAACATCCAAAATATATAAAGAACTCACACAACAACCAAAAAGCAAATAACCCAATTAAAAAATGGGCAGAAGATATGAACAGATACTTCTCCAAAGGAGAAATTCAGATGGCCAACAGGCACATGAAAAGATGCTCCACATCGCTAATTATCAGGGAAATGCAAATTAAAACCACAATTAGGTATCACCTCACACCAGTTAGGATGGCCAACATCGAAAAGACTAAGAACAACAAATGCTGGCAAGGATGTGGAGAGAGGGGAACCCTCCTACACTGCTGGTGGGAAGGTGAACTAGTTCAACCATTGTGGAAAGCAATATGGAGGTTCCTCAAAAAACTAAAAATAGAAATACCATTTGACCTGGGAATTCCACTCCTAGGAATTTACCCAAAGAACATAAGTTCTCAGATTCAAAAAGACATATGCACCCCTATGTTTATTGCAGCACTATTTACAATAGCCAAGATATGGAGACAACCTAAGTGTCCATCAGTAGATGAATGGATAAAGAAGATGTGGTACATATATAAAGTGGAATACTATACAGCCATAAGAAAGAGACAAATCCTACCATTTGCAACAACATGGATGGAGTTAGAGGATATTATGCTCAATGAAATAAGCCAGGCAGAGAAAGACAAGTACCAAATGATTTCCCTCATTTGTGGAAGATAACAACAAAGCATAACTGAAGGAACAGAACAGCAGCAGAACCACAGACTAGAGGTTACCAAAGGGGAGGGGTTGGGGAGGAAGGGAGAAGGGGATTGACAGGTATTATGATTAGTACACATGGTGTGGGAAGGATCATGGGGAAGACTGTAGCACAGAGAAAACAAGTAGTGACTCTGTGGCATCTTACTACACTGATGGACAGTGAGGGCAATGGTATATGGGGGGGACTTGATAATATGGGTGCATGTAGTAACCACATTTGTTTTTCATGTGAAACCTTCATAAGAGTGTATATCAATAATAACTTAATAAAAAAATTGTATAAAAAAATAAATATTGGGTTCATTTCATCCACCTTTTTCTATTCTCACCATCTCCATCTTAGTTCAAGGCCCAATACTCCTACCTGGATTATGGCAAAGACTCCTGATTGGCCTAAACTGCCTCTAGTCTTCTCGCAGCATCCTGACCAAAAGCAGCTCAGGATCAGCTAGAAACTAGCAAGATATGTACCGTCCTAGGCTTGGTTCCTCCTTGCCTCTCCAGCTGCCTCTGGCTCCTTAAACCTCACTCCTCTGGATCTCTGCACTTTCCCAGTGCTCACTGACCTCACATCTCTAATCCTGGATACACACTGTCTCACCCGGCTAAATCCCACTCGTTCTGGAAAGCCTTCTCTGAGTACCTTTTTGGTACCTTCCCCTCCTCCTACTCATCTTAGTGTCTGTAATGCCTGTTTACTTGTCATTCTCCACCATTAACCAGCAGATTCCCTGAAGGCAAGGACTATACCATTATGTCCACACCAACTGTAACTGTTTGGCACATAAGTGCTCATCAGATATGTGATGAATAAATCAATGAACTCATGCTGGAAGGCACAGTAAAGCAAAATTAACAAATGCCAGCATTTTTACCCTCATTTGTGGATCTCTAGGGACTATTCAAACTTTCTATTTTCTAATTGGCCACTTTTTTGAGGTCTTTAGTGATCTCTCATTACATGCTAAATGTGTCAAGTACCACATGTGAATGACCTCATTTAATCTTACTCTATTACTAAGCACTGTTTCAGCCAATGTACAGATGAGGAAACTGAGGCACAAAGGGCTGAGGTAGCTCCTGAGGACCACACATATTAGGTGGTTAAGTGTAGAAAGAGTACAAACCCAGACAGCTTGCTCTGAGCCAATGCTCATTGCTACTTTGTAAGTGCATCTTGATCAAAACCATTTTTGAGGGGAAATTTTATGAAAATACTTCATTTTTTCTATTTAGATTTTCTTCTTGCTTACCAAAAGCCTGAAGAGATAACCTGTGCTTGAGTTTTTATTAAACCTCTTTCAAAGCTTGCTAATGGTGCAGGTAAATTTCAATTATGTTAGTAACTGGATTTAGGATGATGAACATTAGAATGTATATATATATACACTAGTATCTAGAGTCTCTGGACAGCCATGTGAAAAAGAATGTTTCTATACACAAGGAGCATTTATGTACCTGCTGGATTTAACTGCAATGACATAGTACTCGATCGTGGCACTCTCTACTCTAGCTTGTAATTTTATTAATTCATTCAATGCTGATTAAGACTCGTGTTACTGGTCTCTGACTACTGGTTTAAAATGTTTAGAATATCTCTTGGACAAAACTACATTTAAAAACTTCAGGGGTTTTTGGTTAAATATTTTTTAGTGAAAAATGTATTTAATGCACATTACTGGTATTTACCCAAGTGATATCCCTTTATTTAGATAAAAATGAAAGACTTTAGATCCATGAAAAGTTAACCAGCAGATTCCCTGAAGGCAAGGACTATACCATTATGTCCACACCAACTGTAACTGTTTGGCACATAAGTGCTCATCAGATATGTGATGAATAAATCAATGAACTCATGCTGGAAGGCACAGTAAAGCAAAATTAACAAATGCCAGCATTTTTACCCTCATTTGTGGATCTCTAGGGACTATTCAAACTTTCTATTTTCTAATTGGCCACTTTTTTGAGGTCTTTAGTGATCTCTCATTACATGCTAAATGTGTCAAGTACCACATGTGAATGACCTCATTTAATCTTACTCTATTACTAAGCACTGTTTCAGCCAATGTACAGATGAGGAAACTGAGGCACAAAGGGCTGAGGTAGCTCCTGAGGACCACACATATTAGGTGGTTAAGTGTAGAAAGAGTACAAACCCAGACAGCTTGCTCTGAGCCAATGCTCATTGCTACTTTGTAAGTGCATCTTGATCAAAACCATTTTTGAGGGGAAATTTTATGAAAATACTTCATTTTTTCTATTTAGATTTTCTTCTTGCTTACCAAAAGCCTGAAGAGATAACCTGTGCTTGAGTTTTTATTAAACCTCTTTCAAAGCTTGCTAATGGTGCAGGTAAATTTCAATTATGTTAGTAACTGGATTTAGGATGATGAACATTAGAATGTATATATATATACACTAGTATCTAGAGTCTCTGGACAGCCATGTGAAAAAGAATGTTTCTATACACAAGGAGCATTTATGTACCTGCTGGATTTAACTGCAATGACATAGTACTCGATCGTGGCACTCTCTACTCTAGCTTGTAATTTTATTAATTCATTCAATGCTGATTAAGACTCGTGTTACTGGTCTCTGACTACTGGTTTAAAATGTTTAGAATATCTCTTGGACAAAACTACATTTAAAAACTTCAGGGGTTTTTGGTTAAATATTTTTTAGTGAAAAATGTATTTAATGCACATTACTGGTATTTACCCAAGTGATATCCCTTTATTTAGATAAAAATGAAAGACTTTAGATCCATGAAAAGAACCCAAGTTTTTAATTTTTAAAATAACTTTTTCTAAGATAAATATTAATTTTAAACCATTAAGGACACAACCAGCCAAAACCAAATTGTAGCATATACTCAAATGATCAGGTTTCTCCAACAAATGAATGGCAATGGGGGAGGGAGAGAGATGGTGATGGCAGGAGGCCTGATACAGACACAATCAGAAGACACACTATTGAAGCCTTTGTAATGACCTTATTTAGATCCAAGTTTAAATAAACCAACTACAAAGCCATTGTTGAGATAATCAAGAAGATCTGAATATGGGCTATTAGAATATTAAACAAGTTATTTTAGGTTAGGTTTGAAAATGGCATGATGGTTATGTTAAAAAAAACAAACAAACCCAACTTTCAGAGTTATATACTGAAATATGCATGTGAAATTTTTAAAAAGTGAATTTTATTATTTTTAAAAATTAAATTTGCATAGTAGAAGAAAAGAAATATTTTTAAGTTTAATCAGCAACCTGATTTACTTGTTATTTAGTGTTTATTCAATCAGTCTGACATACCTTGCATGAGTTTCGAAGTTTTTGCCTTTCCTTTTTAATGGCTTTTTTCTGGATATCTTTTTCCTTCTTTGCCAGTAATGCTTGTTGTCTAACTTCCTCTTCTTCTTTCTCTTTAACTAACCGAGCTGCTTCTAATTCAGCTTGTCTTTGCTTTAATAATGGAGAATAAAATAATTTGAAAAAGAAATTTCGAATTTCTAAGTGCTCTATCATCTTACTTAAATAATTCAATCTTTTAACAAATTAGAGGAAAAGGGGACATGTCA